TAAAACAGCCGGGGAAGTGTACTGTAGATCCATAAAGTTATCTGAGATGCAAGGAAGGCTTAGACAACCTTTTTTAAATCCTACTGTTGATACTTTAATGAAATTCATAATTCCTCTAGAATTTCTTTAACTCAGAATTAAGCTATTATGAAAAACTATCACAGATAACTACAGTAAGAACTATTCCCTCCCTCTCCCTCCCTCCCTCCCTCTCTCTCTCTCTCTGTCTCTCTCTCTCTCTCTGACACACACACACACACACACACACAACCATACACATACACATATAGAACTACAGACTCATCATTTAACTTAGTAAATTCACATGAACCCAACTTGTGCAGTTAATGATATAGTGTGACATGCAGACTATAAAGTTGTCTTGGAGTAAAAACTGTATACAGTTTAATTTTAAGATCACAATTAAGACCAGAATTTTGGTGTTAAACAAGGCAATTGTTAAGTGAGTCAGGCTCAGTTTTATGGCCCTTTTTGCCATTGTTGTTAAGCAAATCACAGCAGTTGACTGAACTGAGAAGTCCTAAAGGGAATCCTTCTTTCTCCGTTGATTTTGTTTGTCAGAGGAGAGCTGAGAAGGTCACAAAGGGTTTCATGTGACTCCAGACGCTGCAAACTTTATAAATATATACTGATTATCAAGTGCCCAAAGTTTGAACATGTGACCATGGAGATACTGTGATGGTTGTAAGTATGAGGACTGGCTGTAGGCCGCTTTTTTCAATACCGTTGTAACTCTGAACAATCACTAAACATATGGTTGTAAGTCAAGGATTACCTGTAGTTATGAACAAGTTAAATACTTTGTTCTTAAGGAAAAGTTGTAAATGCCACGAGGTACTATATTTAGGACTATGATGTCAATAAAAATTATTGTACAGTCTTATACTAAGGTGGCACATTACGTTTAACAAAATCAATCATATGAAAACAATAAGCTGCAATCATAGAATCAAAACTTAATCTAAGATTCTGTCTTTCCTTTCACACAGAATATTGTTGGGGAGCTGCCTACCAAGAGCAAAACAACAGATTGCCAAAATCTGCCCACTTAAAAAAACATTACAGAGCTAATTGTTCTTGTAAAAACTGTCATATTATAATACAAAGAAAAGAAGAAGGAAAGATAACACATAGGAATACCCTCACATAACCTGTAGCAATTAGCTAATTGTACTAAATTGTACAATCTAATGTTGTAAAGTTGTGTAAAACAACCTGTACAATTCATCAGTGCAGATCTGTTGATGTTCTGAATAGTTTCTTATGGTTCCCATTTGTTCCTCTTTCTGCCATAAGTCTTTCTTCCCTGCCAAGGATCAATGATAATTATAATTATACTTTTTATAGGTTTTACATTTGCCATGCAGGTGTTATCCCCGGGAACTATCACCTCTCCTTTATATCCCCCTAGCAATTTGAATCAGATTTTTCATATTACAGATATATCCCTTTCCCCGACTCATTCATCTCTGTAAATAAAGATCTGTTGGCTTCTCGATTGGGCACTTAATTAGAATTGCTAGAGGCGGTCACTACCTAGGAGATTAATTATCACAGAGGAAATTCAATCAATTGTTAGAGTGACAGAGGAGGAAAAATAAGTCAAGAGTAGAGGAGGAGAACTGATATACCTTTAGTAACAGAAATATCAGGAAAACTCTTGAGCAGAAAACTTGCTGCATTATTTGCATGAAGAACAAAAGAGAGTCATAACATAAAACAGAAATAATTGTAAAGATTATTCAATGAGCGCAACTGCCAGCTTGTAAAAACCTTTCTCAGTTTTTTGTTCTAGATATGTTGGACCATACAATTCCCAGACAGCATCATCATTTGTTCTGTTAATTGGGTATCATGAGACTTGAAAGTCATCAAATCTAGAAAGCATTAAGTTGGAAAGACAGCAGCTTTTTAAATTGTGATTCTTTCTGATTTCTTCGAAGGCCACCATACTATATTTATGCTAAATATTAAGTTAATTATTGTTTCTAATAATGCCACTGATATTTAAGGATTATTGGTACTGCATTACAAGATAGTCTTAGCTTCTTATTCATTCCAAGTTTGCATAATCTTTTTTCATGCTATAGATATGCATCAATTTCTGTTGAGGAAAAAAAAACAGTATTTTGTGAGTATGTGTATTGAATGTCATCTGCTGGGCAAAGAAGGAACAATGTATCAGACTCCTATTTTAATCCAATAGTTTTGTGAGCTCAGCGCCCAAACTACCTAATCTAATACCTTGATTTCATATTATATTATCATTAAGTCGTAATGGGATTAATCCAGTTTAAATTCCAGCATTGTATTACAGAAATGGCTAAATGCACTGTCTTGGAAATAAACTTTATTAAACCCAATAGAAATTACTTCTATGAAAGCTACACAAGATGATGTCTGTTAACAGAAATATGGAACAGATTGATAAATAAATAGCTCTAGTTTTTTAGGAATAAACCTTTGAATATTCTTAGAGAAAACTCAATGAAGAGAAATCAATTCAATGGGTGAGCAAGCCAATAATTGGTTGCATTAATCAAGAAGATAGGTAAACTTAAGCAACATACTAAAAAGTTGACATATGAGTTTATGTGGTGCCTTCACACTGAATTTGGTCATATTCATAATATGAATAGCAAATCTGCACAGAAAGTTAACAGCAGTCATTGGAAGCACCAGAGAGAAAAGGAATAAAATTACAAAGGAGGCAAGTTGGCATACCTAGAGCATATCTTATATGCTCTACAATCTTGTGAATTTAACAGTATGATAGAATTATTGGAGTCATTTAACACATTTATTGGAAGTATGTATTCCTAAGCATTGGTTAAAAACACAAGTCCTACCATTTCTGCACTACCCAAAAAATCCAGATAATCACTAGAAGGAATAGAGGTTTCTGATCTATTCGCTGTCCTCTAGTGGTTGTTTGGATTTCTGCCCTACCAGAGGCCCCGTATCACAGTAATATTTCTTCAGTGCTATTCCACAGCATTCAGCCAGAGAGAAATACAAAATGACGTTTTTAAAAGCAGTACTGAGATGTGTAACAGCTGGCATGCACAAAGTAGATGGGCTTCAGCTTCATGGAGCACTTTATCAGAATTTAAATTTCTAATTCAGTCTGTGTCTTGATTACCAAAGTAAACAAATGCAATAATTTAGGCAGTCGGATTTATGAAATTCCGCATTGGTGTACTGTACTAATGCTGGAATATAATTCTGGAACTAGGGAGAGTGTAGTATTAAGCCAGATATATCCATACGTTATTGAGTGACACCAGTGAAGCTATACCAATTCTTATGTACACTGCATGACATACAAAATACCAAAGTGATATCAATATTAAAAAACTGAAAGTCTTTTAGAATGCTTTCAGATAGACAGATATTCTCATGTGAGGTACACTTACTCTACAGTTTTGCCACCTTCAATCCTTAATCAATTTCAAACCCACCCCGGACTGGCTTTGGAATCAATTTGATCAGCCTGGCCGATCACAGGACTGAATCCAGCAAAGGCTTTCCACAGAACCAACAACCAGGGTGTGTAAAAGAAGGTTGGTGCAAAAATCTTTGTTTGGCTATTTATTTCCTTCCCCACACAAACGTGCACTTTCTTCTTACTACCATCAATATCAGTGTTGTTTCTCCATTGTGTTGTCCACCAACATCAACAGGTCAGGTAATCAGATGAATGTGAAATAACTTTTCACGTTATGGGAGTAACTTTTGCCATTACCCACAGCAGAACATCCAGATTCAGCCATAGTTTCATTCCATAGCATTAACCTTGTGAACTCTCAAGCTTTCTCCTTCCGTTATATATTCAGGATGGATAGTATTTAATATTTATTTGCTATGTATATGTAGGGGTGTGGGTTTATACATATGTTGTACATAGTATGTTTTAGGTGTGTGTCATGTATGTGTTTCACTTTGAGAGCGGGCAACTAAATTTCATTTTTGATGTATGCCATTGTGCCCACAGTAAAAAATGACAATAAATGTTATCTTATCTTATCTTATTATATATAAAAGATTTGTTTTGCTCTGGATGAAAAATATTGATCCATGATCCTATCATTTCAAATATGAAGTCATATTTCAGATGCAGTCTCCTCCATGTGAGTGAGGTCTAGGCAATTTTCCTCATTATGCCCTCTTTAAAAGACAAAGATGTTCGCTAGCAGGACGCTTGGATCAAGCAATACTTTTCTTCTGCCTGAATAAAGGAAGGGGACCATCTCTGCCAGTTGCCCCTTTATTCAATGTGTCCTTAAATCTGCTTCAGAGAGTTGGAGAACATCTGAAATAGCAATGGAGGTGCTCCAGGGTGACAGAGATAGGTAACTGAGTAATGAAACATCTGCAAGAAAACAACCAATCTCAGAGAGCACCAAGGACCTCTCATTTCAACCCTGAGCTAGAAACATTCTCCTTTATCGGTAAGATCGATCTCTCTTCTGACAGCAAGAGCAATGCAAAGATCTGATCCAAACAAGTTCATTGCACAAAATCCCAGGCTAATTAGCGTTTCTGTTTGTGCCGATGTTTCCTACACACCTTCTTTAGGCCACATAGCTGCTAATTCAAGCATCCTGGCATGGTTGGCCAAAAGACCAAGAAGCTAATGAAAATGGGAAAGAAAATTACTGGAAAAGCAGAGGGCGTCAGGTAGGAATGAAACTATTTATACAACCTCTATGTGTGTGTGCACACGACCGCCTTCTGGTTTTAACTCCTGGAAACTGCCTGAACTAGTCCCCACAGCTTTCTTGGCAAGGTTTTTGAAAGGGATTCCTAGGATTAAGAGAGAGTGACTGGCTTTGTGTCTATGGTGGCACTACATTTTCCTGATTTGTGGCTGGTACCTTAATCGCTATATCAAACTTGCTCTCTTTATACAACCATTCTGAGAAATCTAAACCTAATAAACAAATATAAGAGAATCCAAGCTTCTTCCCTCTGCCCTAGAATGTATTTAATGGAATGAACCAAAATGTTCAAAAATACTGAATCCATTTGAGAAATGTTGGATTTTTAAGCAACCAGGAGTGGAAATCTCTTATTGAATGAAAGGCAGTCAGTCATACCAGAGAGGACATAGACGTTATACTAACAATGTGGTTTCCTTGTTTGTGTGGTGTGTAAACAAATCCCCTGTGACTTATTCATTCAGTAGATCAAGAGAATTAAATCGTGATTTCACCAGTTATAAAATGTCGGTCATACCACAATTCCCACTGGTAATTTATTGTATCTAGAAGAACCTTCCAACCGCTATGCTGAAAAATGAGGGCAGGCTTTATATTATTTCAACAATGGCTGGCTGATGCTAGAAGATCCTGTAAATCAGGAGTGAGGAAATGGCAGAGATCTTAACTAATGTGCTGGAAGAAATAATCAGACTTAATGGGGGTAGAATCAATTACACGTTCATGGATTTCAGGCACAAAGAATCAGTCAGGGCAGCCTTTTTCCTCTTCCATTTTAGCCACATAATTCAGGCTCATCTCCAGTTCTGAATGAAATGCACAGGTCCTTTATGAAGCAGAGAAAAGAAGTAAAATGAAACAAGGCAGTCATTTAAAATCGGCAACAATAGAGAGTAATTTTTTGATAATGTGCAAAAAGAAATTACTAGAGAAGTGCCTGAGAGATCTATTTAAGTCACTAATTTAGATAAAACCCAGCATAAGAAGTAAGATAGTTCAATAAAGGACTTTCCTCTGATTAGAGACAAACAGATGCAGCATATGTATCTGTGCAACTTTGAAATTTCATTATGAATGCTTCAAGCCAAACAGTTCAAAAATACCCTGGGAATCCAGTATTATAAGCACTTTCACCAGCCATGAAATTGAAATGTTTTGCTCCTACTAGTGCCTTTTTCTTTTCATATGACATAAATTGCAGGCTGCCATAGATTTCTACTGCCATCTTGTGGAAATTAAATATCGCTAGTAAATGTTTTGTTTATTAATGGGAAAACCCTTAAAAGTCAGCTTATGCCATATAACTCACTCATTACTACTCTGAATTCATACCGTAAATGCCCGTTTCTGTTTCTCACAGTCTTTAATGTCATTGCTGCCAGATCTGGTCTGGAGAAATCCAGATGATTACTAGATGGAAATATTGGTAATTTACTTCTTTGCTGCAATCAGGTGATTTCCACTAGCAGAATTTAAGCAGAGTTCCTAAACATTTGGAATTTTGAATTCATGGGCACTCTTATAAAATGACAGCCCTGCAAGGCATGGCTGTCATAAAATATCATTTATTCCACAAGGCAAATTGTTCAGGTTGCTTCCTCTTATTCCCTCTAGACCTTCAAGATCATTTAAGATAGCCATGCTGGTTGGGGAATTTTGGAAACTGAAATCCACATATCATAAAACTGCCAAGTTTGAGAAACATTGGTTTAAGGCAATGATGGCGAACCTTTTAGAGTCCGAGTGCCCAAACTACAACCCAAAACCCACTTATGCATCGTCGGGTGCCGGGTGGGTGTGGCCCATTGGGTGGGCATGGCTACGGTGGTAACGGCAGACTGGGTGGGACTAAAAAGTTCAATCAATCAATTCCAACTTTGCAAGATTTTTTTTTCCCCGCGAGAAGTTGAAATTGACTGATTGAACCTTTTTTTTTTTGCACACGGCGGCGGCCTAAAGCAAAAAGGTTTTATAAAACCCAGCTGAAGGCCTAGGAGTGGGGCGACGGCATGCGTGCCCACAGAGAGGGCTCTGAGTGCCGCCTCTGGCACCCGTGCCATAGGTTCGCCACCACTGGTTTAAGGTGTTGGACTGGCACAAGGGAGATTCAAGTTCAAGTTTATCTACAACAATGGAGGCCAATCATTCTTTCTGCCTAGTTTATTTCATAAGGATGTTGTGGATGCTTGCTACCACTAGTTTTTTTCAGTGCTGCCATTGTTTTTATCATGTAAAAATGCCCCCAGATTCAGGATCATTCCTGGAATTAATGATTAGAGGTTGCTGTCTTGTTTACTGCAGTCTCTTCCTCTTTTTGTTTGAACTAAAAGAATCCAAAAAGAAATAGATGACTATTTCCAAGTGGAACACACATTTTGAAAGGCACCAAGGGAAGGATCACCTATATATTTGATGCCCCTAGATATCACACTGCGTAGTCTGTTCGGTGAGAATGCCCTTTACACGCCCAATGAAACATAATTTTTCTTTACCTCATTTAGATTTTAGAAAATTGATATAATTCGTTTTCCCTGTTAATTGCTCCTCAGTCGTGGCTTTGGAGAGAGCACCAGCTTCAAGATATATGTGTAAAAGCATGCACACCCGTGGGTTGTCATGATGACCTCACTGTGATTTGCTGCAGGCAAATAACACATGGATGAAGCTGACAGGCAAATACTGTAAACTGCATATATCAATCAGAATAGAGCTGGAAGGGATCTTGGAGGTCTTCTAGTCCAGGGCTCCCCAAGCCCTGGGCCGTGGCCCACAACTGGGCCGTGGCCTGTTTAAAACCAGGCCACGGGAGAGATGGGCAAGTGTGCTGCGTAAAGCTCCTCTCAAATGAGCAGCGGACAAGTGTGCGTGCAAAACTCCACCTGTGTAAGCACCCTCCGCTGTTGCGCGAAGCTCATTTGTGCGAGTGGAAGGCACGCATTGTCCCTTGCACAAATGAAGTGATGCACATGGCGCCTGCCACTCACATGCACACACACCCGTGCCGGGCCATCAGGCTGGAAAGGTTGGGGACCACTGTTCTAGTCCAACATTCAGCTCAAGCAGGAGAACCTATACCATTTCAGACATGTGGCTGTCCAGTCTCAAAAAACTCCAGTGATGGAAGCACCTAAAACTTCTGATGGCAAGCTGTTCCATGGGTTGTTCTCACTGTTAGGAAGTGTCTCCTTAATTACAGGTTGCATCTCTCCTTGATTAGTTTCTAAACATTGTTTCTTGTCTTGCCTTCTGATGCTTTAGAAAATAAGTTGCCCCCGTCTTCTTTGTGGCAGCCCCTCAAATACTGGAATATTGCTATCATGTCATCCCTAGTCCTTGTAGCATGTATCAGATATCCTGGGGAAGTACATAGCACAGCATTTGTGAACATTGTCATCCCCTGGACACACTGTTTATTGCAAACACCACTGTGTGAACACTGTACATGTTTTCTGACCATCAACACAGCTAACAAAGCACCCAGACACAGGTAAATAATATAAACAACAATATATTTATTACAACTATACAACAATAAAAGTTATGCAAAGCGCTTAAAGTTTTTGCAGGAGAATACGAATACAATCCCTGCTACAGAAATTATATTGAATCATGTACATTAAGATGATCCTATGATCGGGGTAACCAGAGCAAAAGAGATTTTTTTCTTCTTCCTAGCGTTATTCCCGCGCTATGGCAGAGTCCGTTTAAAAAGAGACAATTAAAAACAGAAGAGCAAAAGAGACAATTCACCCAAAGTGCAAACCGGGAATTTAACCCCCTTGAATAACAAACGCAATACCTTATAATATGTGAAATGTGTAGAAAGATACCATAACAATCCTATCAACCATCCAGAGAGGAGGACTTGGGTTTTCTTGACTTCCCTTTTTAGTCGTCTTGGTGGTCTTCCATCCAGAGATGGAAATAATGCAGTGATCTCTACGTGCATAAAAACTCTAACGTGTAAAAAAAAACAACAAATCAAAATTACGATGTGTATTAAATGAACAGAGGCTCGACTGGCAGCTTTTAACGTGAGTCGTTGACCCAACACAACCTGTCAGGGTTCTTGTTGGAGCCGGTCAACGTCCATCACGAGCAACGCTATCGGAGGTCGTCTGTACAACCATCCCGGCCATCCGGGATCACCCGCGTTACTACAACTGGGTCAACCAGGATCACGTGCCCCGCTTTCGGACGCTCTTTGGTGAGGTCACTCGCGCAGCCCCCCACCCCTCCAACCACCAGCGGTACGGCTGCATTGCCACCTCCTCAACGGCAGGGGCCGCTGTCGGTCGGGATGCCCAAAGCCTTTGCCACCGGATGTCGCGTAGCTGTGCGCGGCCTGACTTGGCGGTATCGCTGGCTTCGGGTTTGGCGGTGCGGAGGAGGGCGGGCGGTTGTGTTCGCCGCTGCAGCAAAGGCGTCGGGGAGGAGGCGGCCAGAGGAGCAGACGCCGACGCGGCACGATGCCCACCGTGGAGGAGCTGTACCGTAATTACGGCATCCTAGCCGACGCAAAAGAGACCGCTCCCGAGGTGGGGGTTATTTCCCCCCCCCAGTGGGCTTCGGGCTCTGGCCTAGCGGGGCAGAGAAGGGGGAAGCGAAGCGCTCGGCTCACCGTTTAGTTGCGGAGAGCGGTGGCTTCGGCAGGGCCCAGGCGGCTTTTGGGAAGCGTCCCCGAGGCGCGAAAAGAGACGAGTAGACCGACCAAAGGCCGCGGGGAGTCCATCCCTCTCCGATCGTTTTGTTTTCCCCGATCCAGGTTTCATTGGCAGTTTATACGAAGGCCGGGCGCCTTTGGAGGCTTTATTCCCAAGGGGGAGCCTGGGGGAGGTTGCGGCTCTTGTTTTCTTCCCGCGCGCTCTCGCCAGTTGTGCCAGGTGGATAGGATTCAGCTTTTTAAAAAAAAAAACCGCAGACGCTGCCAAATTTTGCATAAACAATGATTGGCGATCCCTAAAAATCCTCTTTGCTCCCCCCCCCTTTCTCTCCCCGTGCGAAATTTTGTGAGTGAGTGTATCCAGACGTAAAAAAAACCAAGCGGGGGGCTTCTGGGCTGCCCCTTAGTTCAGTCTGCAAACTGGAAGGTTTTGTAGACCAGTGTTTCTCAACCTTGACAATTTTAAGGCATGTGGACTTCAATTCCCAGAATTCCACAGCCAGCATTGCTGGCTGTGGAATTCTGGGAGTTGAAGTCCACATGCCTTAAAATGGTCAAGGTTGAGAAACACTGTTGTGGACGGAATCCTGTCAAAATTGACATAAAAGTGTCCCTTTAAGTTCTGTGGAATTTTATTTCGACTTGGCTTTAGATTTAGAAATCTAAATCTTTAGATTGCTTTGATCCTTTGTTAAGTGCTGGGAAGCAGCAGTGTCTTGGCAGCATGGGGTCAGGTCCTTTCATTGGGAATACTGTGCTTTTTCCTAGGAAATGGTCACCTGGGCAATAGTAAAGTATACCTCTATATTTCAGTCAGTTTCAGCATTTACTTTTCTGTGTGTTAATTAAGGCAGGGTAGAGAATGGAGCGCCTTTTCTGTTGTGGGTAATGTAAAATGTCAATTTTGAAAACAAAAAAAGCGCTCGTGGTTTTGCTTTGAAATGTTTTATTTCTTAAAGTACATTGGGATATGATGGTAAGGTGACATTTTTTTAAAAAAAATCTGCCTCAAGAAATATTCAAGACTCCTTTTCTGTCTAGTACAGGGGTGTCAAACTGCCGGCCCGTGGGCTGGATGCATCATGCCGAAATGGCGCCCACCCCATTGCCGGCAATGGAAAAAAAAGTCATAATACATCGCAACACGTCACGTGACATTGCGAGTTTGACACCTCTGGTCTAGTAGGTTCTTGTGGCTTTAGGATCCCATTGTTGAATTCAATATCAAATAGATTTTCTTTTCCTTCAGCTTGCCATTACTCTTTTTGCATTGCAGTTGGGAGAAGCTGTTAATTTACAATTTCTGCAAGTTGCAGCAAAAAATAGTGTCACTGAATCTAATATTGTCTTTAGGGAGTTACAGGCACACTGTTCTTACATGCTTATGTAGCATATATAACATGGTAGAGGACAGGAAGACCTGGAGGAATGTTGTCCATGGGGTTGCGATGGGTCAGACACGACTTCGCAATTAACAACAACAACAAAGATAACATAAAAATTTTCTATGTTAGATATGCCTCGTAGGATACAACGGAAGTCCCGTCTGTATTCATTTCAGTCTTGCACTGAAATTTTCAGCATATTAGAAAGGAAAACTGTACAAGTAGTGTATTTATATGGTAAGAAGACTAGATCCCCATCCCACCCTGCACATTTAAAATGAATTGACCTCTTTAGATTTTCTGAAAATATAGTAACTGTGTTTTGTGTAATCTTCCCTTTTGGAAGAGAGACATTCGCAAATTCAAGATCATTGGCTTTTGGGGTGAATAAAGTATAGTAGATTTTTTTAAAACATAGAACCTATTAAGTAGAGAAAATATGGTTAGGCACAAACACATCACAACTGTTGATATCGCCTTAATTAAAGCAACAAGACCCAAGGAGAAGTTGAAACTTTGCCAGTGCAGAATTAATTTCCATGTGTATGCTGAATCACCTATGCGTTTGGATTACTATACAGCCCTAGTGTTAAAATTGTTTTAGTCCTTTAACAGATTATGCTTGGTGTTCAAAAACCAAAATACATTAAGAATTGCAACAGTTATAAAAGATCCTTAGCCTTGTGAACTTCCAAAGAAAGGCCATTCTTAACTGCAAAAAGGTAGTAGATATTTTCTGGTTGCTTGGTGCATATGGAGGATGATAAAAACCGTGCTTATGAAAGATTGCAGTAAATTGTTTCCATATGTATATTCATTATTTCATGGGCTAACACTTTAATGTGCTAGCTGAAGTGGGAGCTAGCATATTATGCTTTTTAAGTACACTGTCAAAAACCATGTGTTGGCAGTAGAGCTCTCTACTCAATCATTACAAAATGTGATACTTTCAAAGTAATATGTCTCTGCTGAATGTTTAGTCAGAAATGGTGGGATAATCTATGAATTGTTATAGATAATTTGCTTATGAGAAAATCATTTTCAGGCAAATGTAATTCTTTTAAATTTTCATTGCTTACTTTAAAAAGCTCTGCATTCTTAAACTCTCTCTTCTTTTCTAGCACAAAGATGCTTATCAAGTTATCTTGGATGGTGTCAAAGGGGGTCCTAAGGAGAAGAGATTAGCAGCACAGTTTATTCCAAAGTTCTTCAAACATTTCCCTGAGTTAGCAGATTCTGCTATAAATGCTCAGTTAGATCTTTGTGAGGATGAAGATGTTTCAGTAAGTGCCTTTTTCTTTACAAAAGGGAAAATGCTATTGGAATTCACATTGATACAGTACCTGAAAATTGCATTAATATTTTATGTGCCTATTTTGCCCAATCTCTGCATGTAGTTGCAAAATCTTTTTAGATTATGGTATAGCTGCAGTCTGTTAAGATTGTTAATAATAGTCCTTGTCTGTGCTATTATTTCTACTATTATGCACAAGTAAAATATATACTACAGTTGCTGAATTACATTGTAAATCTACTAAGAGCATAATATGCTAGTTTTGATTCATTGAAATCCTAAATACTGTTCATGATGGATTTTATATTGTAATGATCCTGATGTCAAATCTTCTGTAATTGAACATATTATCCAATTGTTCCATGTGTGTCTTTTTTGTTTATAGATCCGGCGCCAAGCAATCAAAGAATTACCTCAGTTTGCTATGGGTGATAACCTCCCTAGGGTAGCAGACATACTTACCCAGCTTCTGCAATCAGGTGAGAAAGATTATTGTATTAGTTTTAGTAAAAGGCACACTTAAATATTCATTACTATAGCTTTCTTGCTTCAGCTTTCTTACTGCTTATATTTTTGAAGAATTTCTCTTTCCTTTATTCTAATTATTTCACATTACTCCTGAGTATTATATTCTCACATTGAAAATATGGTATGAGTAAAGATTGTCGTGATCTAAAAGATAGATGCTTATTTTGAGTCTTTATTAGCATTGCTAACACTACATAATGCAGAAGAAATGTTTGGATAGAAGACACTTTGCTGTTTCAAATACTTTCTTAGGTATTACCTACACAATCTATGTGGTCACTAAAAGTCAACACCAACTTAATAGCATATAATCAATGAAGGAGAATATTTGTACCTCAGGGTTAAAATGAGGGGTGCTTGGTGCTCACTGAGCTTGCTTGTTTTTGCAAATGTTTCATTACCCTAACTAGGTAACATCATCAGTGCTAGTAAGGAGTGCTGTTTGCTGTCTGTTTATATTCTGATGTTCAGAATCTCTGGTCAGCAGAGACCACAATGGCAAAGTAGAAATGCAAGTCTACAGAGAAACTACCCATGTCAACCAGGTGCTCCACTACCAAAGCAACAGCCCAAACTTCCACAAGAGAAGCTGTGTAAGGACTTTATTTAAACCAGCCCAAACACACTGCAGCAACCCAGAACAGCAGAAAAGGGAAATGGAGCATCTATACAATACATTCCAACAAAATGGATACCCGTGCAACTTCATCAAAAAGTTCTTGACCACTCAACCCAATACAGCACAATCAATACAAACCCTAAAAACAATTACACTGCCATACATCAAGAATATCTCAGAAATTGTAAATAGACTGCTATAACCACATGGAATCAGCATAGCATCAGCAAGCCAACTGAAGCCCTTCAGAACATCCTAAGTAAACCCAAAGACCCAGCAACCCCAGAAGAAAAAATGGGAGTCATCTACAACATACAATGTAAGAACTGCAACAACCACTATGTAGGACAAACAGGCAGAAGACTGGCAGAACGCATCCATGAACCCCAACTGGCTGTCGAAAGGCATGATGAAAATTCTTTAATTTCACAACATATAAACAGATTTAACCAAAGTTTTAATTGGGAAAATGTGACAATCCTAGACAAGGCCAAATCAAAAATGCCAGGGAATTTTTAGAAGCCTGGCACGCTGACAAATCAGCCATCAACAGACACATAGACATTAACAACATCTATAGATTATGCAAAAGAGACAATCAACTAGCCCAAAAGAAAAAAAAGACTCCAGCA